CAGTTAGACATGGTAGACTCATTACATACTGAGATAAAGTAGGGAGCTATAATGTAAAACAAAGGGCAGTTTGGACCAATTTTGCTGAAACATACTAAACACCCAAAGCAGGGCAGATAATGTGTGTAATTGATAAGAAGACCATCAATTCTCACTTAAGAAAAATAAAGCTTGAAATACTTTGTTTTAAAAAGATAGCTCTATTAAGTGTCTCCTCTCCCCGTTTTTTTGAATTCTCAATCTAAAATGAGAGTATAAGATTAGGAAAAGTTATTTTAAAAGTCTAGCTTTCCCAGCTGGGGCATGGTGATGGTGCATGCCTTTAATCCCAGCACTCAGGAGGCAGAGGAATGAGTTCCAAACCAGCCTTGGTTACATAAGCTCCTCTTTAAAAAAAAAAAAGTGGGGGGGGGGGGCTGGGAATTGTCATTTTCTAACGGTGTACATTTTCTGTTTATATATAGAGCCACGTACATTGGTCCAATCCATCTTTCTCTCTAGATTTATTTCAACTGCTTTCATCACAGCCTGAACACTCCCTGGAGGTAAAAATCTTACTTACAGTGGCACACACCTTTAATCCCAGCACTGGGGAGGCAGAGCCAGGTGGATCTGAGTTTGAGGCCAGCCTGGTCTACAGAGCAAGATCCAGGGAAACCCTGTCTCAGTTTAAAAAAAAAAAAAAAACACACAAAAAAACAGACCTGTGTGATTTAGCGATGCTTCTACTTGGATGACATAGCAACTTGCCAAGTACATTAAATATAAAGGCTTTTCAAAGAAACAATCACTTTGGAGAATGTAATCACACACCATTTTGTGAGAGTTAGACCACTCACACTAGTTCTTTGTTTTCCTCATAGCATTTACGAATCTTTCCTTGCCAGACTGCTCATGAGCTTCTCCTTGAACCTTCACAATGTAGATTTTGGCTCCAAAGGCATTAATAGCTGCAAATTACAAGGCTTAATGATAATCAGCTTAATTCTCTGATTATTCAGTAGACCCCTTTTCCCCAGGTACAACAGCATATTCTGATTTGAGATCACATATTGTATCCCAAATAAGTTATTCATAGTCAATAGTATATCCATATTAGTACAGATAAATTTGATTAAAGGAATGATAAAAGATAATGGTTGAACTCCTTTTGAAATAAGTGTTATTGTTCTTCAGGGCATCTCGCTGGAAGACATTCCACCTTTTCTAAGCAGTGTCAATGGAAGTCTGAATCCCTCAGCACATAACATAAATGTGAGCCATGCAATAAGCCATGACGTCAATCTTCATGAAGCCATGCTGTTGCATCCCAACACCACCTTTAGAAGAGATCCAGCAGCAAAGACTTCACAGGCACAAGAACCATTTCTACAGTTAAATTCTCATACCAATTCTGAGCAAGCCATTCCCGCAATGTCTCTTCCACCTGTTGACAATCAAGTGAGGAATGTAACAAGCCAAGATCTCCTGTATGACCTCGATTCAAACATATTTGATGGAATAAACCTAATGTCATTGGCCACAGGTTTCAGTCCACTGGAAGTTTCTCAACTTTTTGAAGAACCAGACTCTGATTCTGGGCTCTCAATAAATTCAAGTCACAACAGCACCTCTATCACTAAATCTAGTTCTCACTGTATGTACGATGGCGCTATAGGTTATAGTAGTGACCTTCAGTGTCTCTGTCATGATTTAGGTGCTGTAGGAGGCTGCTACCCAGAACCCCATAAACATTACCACATGGATCATAGGACTGTGTCTGGCCTCCATCAGGATCTTGAATGTCAGCAAGTATTTCATGACCACACTTACCACTTACAGCCAGGGGTACCAGAGCCCACATTTGAATCTGGGAAGTCACAAGAAATCACTGGGTGCCTCAACGACCCAGATAGAAACTTGAGTCGTGATGAACAGCGTGCTAAAGCTCTGCATATTCCCTTTTCAGTAGAAGAAATTGTCCGAATGCCTGTTGACTCTTTCAACAGCATGTTAAGCAGGCACTACCTGACAGACTTACAAGTTTCTCTCATCCGTGACATCAGACGAAGAGGAAAAAATAAAGTTGCTGCTCAGAACTGTCGTAAACGTAAACTAGACATCATTTTAAATCTAGAAGATGATATTTGTAACTTGCAAACAAAGAAGGAAGCCCTCAAGAGTGAGTTGGCTCAATGTAACAAAGCTATTGACATAATGAAACAGAAGCTGCACAACCTCTACCACGATGTTTTCAGTATCCTAAGAGATGACCAAGGTAGGCCAGTGAATCCAAACCACTATGCACTTCAGTACAGCCATGATGGAACTGTTTTGATTGTACCCAAAGAACTGGTCACATCAGTCCACAAAAAGGAAATCCCAAAGGGAAAGAGAGGGAGGAAAAACTGAACAAGACTCCGGTGACGCGCATCAAACTATTCTAAGATTTTTAAAACTACTGCTACTTGAATCATTCAGTTAAGGACACATGTTAAAAGTTTTTACTGATAAATGTTTAAGTCTCAAAGTTATGCTTCTGTGAAGTTGGGAGAATCCACATTTTCATGAACCACTTCTGCACTAAATTTCATAAATACACGTTCGTGTAATCTCCAAGAACTTTTAAAACCACCTTTTAGTAACTTGGTCACATGGGAAAGTTTTAAGATGCTTACAAAAATGGAAGTTAGCCTTTCGTGTCTTCTGAAGGTGTTTTTCAATATTTAACTTGTAAAAGTGTGAAAATAAATTTTATATTTGAATTTATAAAAATTTTATTTCAACAAGTCAAATTAAATTTGCCTTATCCACACATCTTCCCCCCCCCAAAAAAAACCCCACTCAGCCTTATAGTTTGTTAACCATATTGTTAACATTAAGATCCAGATGCAATGCAAATACCTGTATTGAGAAATATGGCAGCAGCACTTGTCTATGATGACCTTGCAGCCTAAAATATTCTGAACTTTCAGGTATTGAGCTTAAACAACCATCTTAAAATTCAGATGTTTAAAAATGAAACAGTAACCAATGATCTTTGAAATTAAAATGAGTCATAACAGTTGAGATTATAACAAAGTGCAACCTGTCAAATTCTGATACACTTAATGCTATGCTGACATACCCCAGTTCCAAGGAAACAATACATTGCCCAGCAGTGAGCCATTGCAGTGAGTCAACCATTTCTCCTTTTTTAAATGTCAAAAAATGCTTAGTGTTAACAGATTTTAATCCATATTATGTGGTAGTAAATCACACTGAATGTGAGACATGTGAACCAATGCTTCGTCTATTCACATCAGGCATATAAACCACTTACAAAGGATATGAAAGTGTTAGAATAAGGATCCTCCTAGCATGACAGCAAAGTAAAAATCAATAGCACCAGTCAAAAGTGGAGATGGAATGGTAAGTGTTTACCGGCTGCTTTTCTGAAGGACCCCCAGCACTCTACAAATATAGTAGACATAATATAGACAAACATGCATAAACCAATGATTTGTATTTAAAGTAAAACTTCCAATACATCTTGTTACATTTTCCAGCAGCTCCTGGGGGTGACCAGGCAACCAGCTACTACTATGACCAGAGAGAGATAAAATTGTCTACTAGATTGTCTACACATTTGAGACACCATTTGGAAATTCTGCCCTCTTTACAGGATAGGTTCAGCCTTGACCTCCAAATTTAATTGATTGTGCCTAGTAATAAGGAAAAGTGAGGATAACATGGTACTTTCATTGCCCACCAAATTCCACACTATTTTAAGTCTATGGATCCAAACTATAGCTCCTGCCTAAGTGTGCTACTAAATCTTGACCAGACTTAGAAGCAATGTTTTGTGAACTTAGAGGTTTTCCAAGTTTGTCCCTTTGTAACACACTGGTCATCCTACCAGCCACATGTGGAGAGACCAAACATACCCAAGATTCCTTCCAAATTTGTTAAGTTTTCATGATAAAAGCCCTGTTCCCAATGAAAGGGCTCAGCATGTGAAGGCCCTTTCCCAGAGCCCAGGGACCTTTGGTGGCCAGAATGCTAAATGAACCGACTGTTTCAAGTTGCCCTTACACTGCCTACAAATTTTTTAAATTTTAACTATTAATAAAGTTCTGTAATAAGAGCTGTTCCACAGGACCCAAATTCAGTTCCCAGTGACACAAATATGACAGATTCCCAGGTCCAAGGTATCCAAAAGCTATGTGCACAACACGCAGAACACTTCCAGTGATTCCTCCAGTATGGCTAGCCGTTTAAGGGCCACACACTTAGTCCCATATCTTCCATGAGCCGCCACTACCATTGATTTTCCCTTTTGGGGCATTGCCTTTACTGTTTTAATAACTTGTTTTTCTTACAGCTGTGTAATACCAATTTTACTTTGAAGTCCAACTTAAAAAAAAAAAAAGACATTTCTCAAACCCTGGATTTTTTGAGGGTACGAGGTGGGGGGAGCTGCGTGGTGAGCTCAAGGGCATATATTACTATCACACTCTAGCTCCTTTTTGGACAGATTGTTCATAAATGTGCTAGTTCACAAGGTCCAAGAGCTCTTACTAACCGTTGATTTACCTATATTGCATCATTATCAAATAGTGTTAAATTAACTGCTTACTCTGATTATTATAACTCAGTAAGTCATTAAGTTTAAACCACAAGACTTGAGTTTAACCACTAACTATTCACCGACCAAGTGTAAACTAGAACTCATATTTGGCAGGACTCTTTTGGTGCTTTGTATATATTAACATCAAACACTTATTCTGGTTAAAACCCATGGCTTCAAAATGCAACCATTAATGTTCAATACAGATAGCTGTAGCAATGTATATAATCCATAAGAGTATCAGGGACAGCAATATGCCCCATTAATGCTTTTCTCATTTGTCTATTATTGAAATTGTAAATATGTAGCTTTGTGCAAAACTACTTTAAAATTTAAGGGGGTGGCGATCTTGTAGACAACTGGTGTCGACTGAACAAGATTCACACTTGTGTGTAAGCATTACACCACGTTATTTGGATACAAAAGTTTATTTTATAAAACTTGTACTCAAAATAGAGCTTTTCTGTCTACTAACAAATCCTATTTTAAAACAATACATTATCCTTAGCTAATTTGATGTTTCCCTTTACAAACAGCACTCATTTCATTTTGTAATTTTATCAAGAACCTGTACTAATGAAGTTTTTAATCAGAAAACATTCCCTTTTATCTTAAAAGTGCTTCTTAAATGAAGGCACCAACAAGAACTACTTTCAGATGGTACAGAATTTCTTATTTCTTGAAGACTCTGTGGTTGACCACTTCTTCATTAGTTACCTGCAGCAAGACACCTTCCTGCCAAAGGAAAAAAAAAGTATCTGAAGAAGTTTATCATGTTTGTCCAAAGAACCTAAATAACTTCAGTGGTGGTTTTAGGATTAAAGCAGACTCACTGATGTGTATAAGCCCTGAATATCTCATTTCTGGAAAGGCAATAAAGCCTAGAAATTAGAGGGTAGTTTTAAAAATGAATTTCAGTAGCCAACCTGCAGCAGTTTAGGGTAGGTCAATGGGCAAAAATTACCAAATTTTAACCCAATTATTTAGTACAGGGTACACAAAAGGGTTTTGTTGTCGTTGCACAAAAAATTCTATGTAGTAAAGACACTATCCTAAACCTCCGGTCAGCCTCATCCTGACAAACATGTAAAATTAGAACCATAAAGTAATAAACACAATGCCTTTCATTCCCTAGTTGACTCAAACTGCTTGATCCAGGACAGGTGAATAAATGCACAAGGGTGGAATGATAGGTAAATCTCATTTATTGAACTTGCAGCCTAACTTTTACCTACCATTTTACTACCAACACCACTGAAGGAAGCAAGAAAAGCTTTATTAATGATCACTTGGCTTGCCTCAGCTGTTGAAATGAAGCACTTTACAGTCTTTGTGGCAGCAGAATATACTTGTCCATGGTTCATATCAATGCTAAAATTCCAGCAGGGAAAAAAATGATATGTTAAGCACCTGAATCTTCATGGAAAGGGAGGGGGTGAGAAAGAAGGAAAAAAAAGGGAAAACAACCAAAATAATTTAAGTAAATGACAGATTGGAAAACAGGGTTTATAAAATTATCTTGAGTTTATTATTGTTAAACTCAAATTTATAGCTATGTTAAACTACATAAGAACCACTATACTGAAAAGACCATTGAAGAGTTTATTAGTTTATCTTTTAGGGAGGAAAATTAAGAAAGAAAAAGTAAATAAGATCTTACCTAAAGAAGTTTAACTGAAGCTTAGAACTACTTTGCTCTACACCCTCAGCTTTCGTTGGCATCCTTATCAACTACTGTAGTTTAAGCTTTGTAGATACAGCACAGTTTTTTAAGACTGGCTGAGCTTAGTCGTCAAGAGTTCTCTTGTACTAGACCTGTGTCCCTGAAGAGTACCTCGCTGGGGTTATTTCCTTTCCTTGCATTGAAGAAGCAGCATCTAAAAGATCTAAAAAGGTGTTTCTCCTTGCAGAGATATCCCTTAAGTTAACTAGATAATTTAATCCTGATGAATTGCAGACAACACACTTAAATCTGACCAGCATTTATCTTACACAAATACAACAACAACTTTGCAATGGACCTTAATTATACTACCCACTCCTTAACTTATTTAAAATAAAAAGTCTATAATTACACAATTTCCTTTAGAATTATTTTATTAAATCATAAATGTACAACAGCTTCTTAACTCTACACACGCACTTAAATTTTTAAAGGAAAAACGTTATGTCTTATTACACCATGATCCTGGCTAATAGCTTTTCAAAACTTTTGAGAAAAATCTTAAAAAAGGTTTCACATGTCACCTGAAACTTACAAATTTAACATTATCAAAGAAGGAATGCTTCTACACTCTTACAAAGACCACTAGAAAGAAACAACAATTAAAAAGCTAAGAAACTGTCTCAAAGGCATTTTTTTTACAATCCTTCCTCCACAGTAAGGTAATGTTATTAAATAATCCAATCCATTCACAAAATGGCTCTCTGCATCTGCTCTGGTGTCTTCTGCCATATCACTGCATATTTATGCATGACTGAGATAAGAGTTTCCTTAACATTGTTATTTCGATAACCTGAAGCTGTTCTGTTACCTCTGGGCTCTCATCCTCTCCTATTTATACAGTGAAGCCTGTTTCAACAGAAGTAAAGAGTAAAAAAAAATAGGTTATGAAATTATCCATCTAACCAGATTTTAAGGAAAGATAACATGATCCTAAAATGCTTTAATTCCTGCAGCTAGTACTCCCAAGATAATAATAATTGTAAAACTCAAAAACTACTTACCCATGGTAAGTAGGAAGAAGCTCAGTATCGGCTCCTCCCACCATAGCCCCCACTTCCACCACTTCCTCCAGGACCATAGTTTCCTACAATGATTGAAGTAAAAAAAAAAAAAAAGCTTAGCACATCTGTAAGTCTCTAAGCATCATCTTTAAATTTTGGAAATTTCAAGTTTTCTTCTGGTTTTATCACGGATAGTCTCTATATTGGGCTGGCTGTCCTGAACTCACTATGAAGCTCAGGCAGGCTGGCCTTGAACCCTAACTCCTCCTAAGTGTTGGGATTATGGGCTGGTGGTGGTGGCGCACACCTTTAATCCGAACATTTGGGAGGCAGAGCCAGGTGGATCTCTGTGAGTTTGAGGCCAGCCTTGGCTACCTTTTGAGTTCCAGGAAAGGTACCCACCTTTTTAAGTCCATTACTTCTAAGTACAATACAAAAAATTGGACCTTGCCTCAAAAAAAATCAAAAATCAAAACAAAATGACCTGTTATGTTAAAAGAAACTTCTTCAACAAGCTAAATGTCAGGGTATTGTATCTGAAACATGGTTTCATGTCTGAGAGGCCCTTGCCAGGATTACTGACAGTACCTTGAATAGCTGTTACTTAAATCCAAGGGCAACTTAACTAACTCACCCAGCTCTAGCTGGGAATGGTGGAACCTCCATCCTTTAATGAGACAAGGAAGAGGAAGGTGGATCTTTGTAGCTCCAGGACAGCCTGGACTACATAGACCCTGTCTCAAACAATAGCATCCCTGCCATCCCCAATCACCTAACTTTACACTTGAGAGGTACACTTTTAACAACTCAGTAGCTCAGAAAATTTCCTTCCCACCTGAAATAGATTCTTCCCTGTCTGAAATGCAAAGCTGTTGGACTTCTGCATCTCTTAATCTAGCCGAATTGCAAGTCCTTAGTAAATTACCTCCACCATATGGTCCTCCCATGTTCCTGCTACCACCAAAGTTTCCACTCTTCATTGGGCCATAGTTAGAAGGTTGCTGGTTATAATTTCCAAAATCATTGTAATTTCCACTTCCATAATTCCCTATGAAAGAATTAGAATATTAATTAACACACCTCTGAACTATTATAGCAGCATTAAACCAAAACTAAGGTTTAATTTTTAGGACAAATTTTCTACAAAAATCAAAGTATAATACCTATCTATATAATCCTACAATTAAAGTATCTAAGTGACAATGAAAATAAATGTCAATAATTCTAATCCAAATTCCAACATAAAGGTTGTAGATGAATTTATTACCTCCTCCATAGTTGTCATAACCACCTCCGTAGCCCCCACCCTGGTTGCCATATCCAGGTCCTCCACCACCATATCCTCCTCTTCCTCCTCCATAACCAGGGCTACCTCCAAAATTGCCACCTATTATAAAATAAGCCTTTAAGTAATTGCTTAAATTTTTCAATTCCATTGAATTGTCTTTATTATACTCATTTCTGTTTTTTCAAAACACAACTTTCTTTTATAAGGTGTATTATTTGTTTCATGGTCTATTCTAGAATAATACCTATTCTTTTGGACAAACATTTCAGGGTCACAAACCACCATACAAAGCAACTTGAAAACAACCTTTAATACCATGAACTCTACTTTGAACCGAATAACATTTCAAATTCTTATGCTCTGTAGTTTGAAGACGAAATGCAAAGGGCAACATACTGGGAAGATTTATAAAATCTGACAGGCTGATCTCCAGTTTGAAGCCAGCCAGGTCTACATAAACACCATCTCAAAAACAAAACAAAAACTTGTAATATCCAGATAAGTCCCTGGATATCCTAAGGGACCCACCAGCACTAACTAACTACTCTTAATATAGTCCCCCTTTACACAGAGATCTCAAATTCCAACATTCTAGCTTTTCTACGAAGTTCAACTCCCCATCTAGATCCAATGATTTTTCCAACTGGATCCTCAATTGATTTTTACTGTATAGCAATAGCTACAGTTATACTTTGCTTATTTACAAAACTCAAAGTCTATTTGACAGGCAAAACAAATGATACACACATTTGACCATCAAATAAATCAAAATAAAACTAACCTCCAGGTCCTCCTCCATACCCATTATAGCCATCCCCAAATCCACGTCCACTTCCATATCCATCTGTTTAGAAAAAGTAGTAAGATTATACTTATTTTCTCTATCATTCTCTATCAGTATCTCAGAATGAGGATGGCTGGAAATCTTACCTGTTCATTCATGGGGGGGGAGGGGGGAAGAGACACCACTGTATGTTAACAAGCAGCCACTTTTTTAAGCACTGGGTTTACATCCAGAAAGCCCCAAACTATTAGTAAGGGGGAAATGTTTTTTTTTTCTTAATATAAAAATGTATAGCATCATCAAAACTTTAAAAAGTCACAAGTCACTACATTCATTTATACAAGCTGAAAGCCAAAAGAACATCACTTCTGGCAAATTTTCTTGAGACAGGGACTTACATACAGCCTAGGCTTGTCTTAAATCAATACATGTGCGTGCATGGCTAAGGAAGACCTTATGTTCACAAGTACGGAAATTACAGGTATCATGTCTCATTTTTTAAGGTGCTAAGGAGGCAACCTTAGGCTAATAGCATGCTAGGCACCATACATGCTCAACATGTGCTCCCAGCTCCAGCTCAGGATTCCCTAAGTCCCCTTAAGACCATTCTAGTCATTCAATAACCCCCAAAAAACCTATCACACCCTTTAAAAATACTAACTTACCAGATCCCCCCCTAAAGTTGCTTCCTGGTCCTGGTCCAAAATTGCCACCGCCACCACGAGAATCCCCGAAACCAAAGTTCCCTAGGACACATGTTCTGATTAGCAAGCATTCAGACAAATAAACCACCCACTGACTACATGTAGATATAATATATATAAAAAGTTACCTCCTCTTCCACTCCTTGAACTTTGGACTTCCTGCATTTCTTGTCTCGACAATGCCTTTCTAACTTCTGCATTGTGACCATTGATGGTGTGATATTTTTGCACTGAAACAAGAAAAAAATTATCAATACATTCTAACACTAAGCAATCTGAATGCTTTAACGGGCTGTTGTTGATATACCCAATATTTTATATGCACACCACACCTCCTGTGCGTCTGGACACTTACATACAATTTTATCCACAGGATCATGGTCATCAAAAGTAACAAAGCCAAAGCCTCTTTTCTTTCCAGACTGCCTATCAGTAATTATTTCAATAGTATCAATTTTTCCATATTCCTCGAAATAATCTCTAAGGTGGTGTTCCTCAGTATCTTCTTTAATTCCACCAACAAACAGCTTCTTCACAGTCACATGGGCACCTGGTTTTCCAGACTCCTACAACAGATAAGTGATGGGAAAGTTATGCTGACAGGAAACTTCCACCTTGACACATCTAACTCATACTTCTATTTTAATGTCACATTCCTTCAGATATAGAAAGATTTAAAGGTTAGTGTTGGAAAGACATGTACAAAAGCTAGCACAACCTAACCCACCGCTCACAACGTTCCTTACCTCTCTTGCTACAGCACGTTTTGGCTCAACTACCCTGCCATCAATGGAATGAGGCCTTGCAGCCATGGCAGCATCAACCTCGGCCATGGAGGAGAAAGTTACAAAACCAAATCCTCTTGATCTCTTGCTTGCAGGATCTCTCATAACCTTTAAAACCAAAAGATGTTAGGATTTAATTTTATGTTATGAACTAGCAATACCAATTAGCCTATTTTTTTTGCCGGGCGGTGGTGGCACACGCCTTTAATCCCAGCACTAGGGAGGATCTCTGTGAGTTCAAGGCCAGCCTGGTCTACAGAGTGAGATCCAGGACAGGCTCCAAACTACACAGAGAAACCCGGTCTCAAATACCATGAGAATAAAAAGTCTATTTTTTAATACTGATTTTCTATGACTCAACCCAAAATTAACGCATACTCAACAGTAGAACTTGAACCTGCAGCCCAACTTTCAATTGACGTACCACACAGTCTGTGAGCTTTCCCCATTGCTCGTAGTAGTTTCTCAAACTTTCTTCCGTGGTTTCAAAGCTTAAGCCACCAATAAAGAGTTTACGGAACTGTTCCTTTTCTCTCTGCAAAGGGAAATACCATTTCAATTTTTATTTACATTTTCTCTTTGTATGCAGGAAATTAAATTCTTAAATATGAGGTGACCTGCTGGCAGAGTACCTTTTTCCTCTCCAAAGGAACAGTTTCTAAAGTTTTCTGGGGGGGAAAAAAAAAACTTACATCAAATTTAAACCATATGTTAAACTGCATATTAGTTGTGTTACACCAAAAATTGCCTCAGCTGAACTATACAAGTTTTAAAATCACTAATATTTGATCTAACTTGAATTCACATAAAATATTTTAAAACTGATCATAGATTTTCTTCAAAATCTTTGAGAAAAACCATACCCAACTCTGTGGTCATTTAAGGGGTATTAAAGAACTTATGAAAGTCTTCATTAAATCCTGTAACTCAAGCACAGAATTCTAAAGTTATCTAACTGAAAAAAACAAAATAACAAAAAAACCACCCTACTGTTTCCATATCCACCACTTCAGGATTCAGTTTCTAAATAGTGGCAGATTTGCATTTCCTTAAACTACCCCCCTTTGCTGTTAGAGTAAGTATCCCAAGGAGCTTAACAACAACAAAAAATCCTGTAACTCTAAAACAAGCTCCATGAAGTTGAAAACTCCAGATACTCGTACCACCCTAAGAGAGTATTCTTTTAACTTAGAAAAGTTGATTCCTATAGCAATCATTATCTTAAGTGCAAAATGGTTCTGGGAGGCACTCCTTCTCTGGTATTTAAGCTACAGTACAAACAAGCACACGTTTATCTACAGTTACCACGGCAAGTTCACTTAAAAAAACCGTTACTGTTTGTTTTTAATAATTAAAGCAGCTTGTACTTGTCCACTTTAGTGGCCTTCTGACAAATCATGGAACAAAGTCGTTCTCCCAACGATTCCCAATAGAAAAAGGCCTGAAATAAATATTAACTGAAATTGTGCTGTTTATTACTGGTTTATAAATAACTAAGCTTTAAAAAAAGATACTCATAAACTAGGTCATACTAGTCAGGACCTATCTTGATTGCATAACAAGCTGAAAAGACAAAATTGAAATTACAAAAAATATAACACAACTCATTACTCAACAGAAATCTACAAGATTCTGTCAAAATTTCTAAAAAAAATTCTAAGTTTACTGCCCTTCTCAGGTTCTGAAATTTGAAAAATGGAAATGACAAAATAAGTTAAAGATTCATATACTTTTAATTACTTAACATGACTGTAAATGGAGTTTCTAGGTAGTTCTACTTAAATGTCACTATGCCTCTTTAAATTCAAAATGTAAATATAAAAATACACCTACCATTATTTTCATATCACTAACAAAAAGCAAAAGCTCATTACTTACCTCGTAGATTTTTCCAAACTTACCCGACGTCCACTATCGATTATAAACAAGGTTATTTTATAAACGTGCTTAGGGTCAAAGAAAATAACCAAGCAGACCCCCTTCAAGTTGAAACCTTATGCTTATCAAATGATTAACCATAATTGCAAACACAATCAGAAAAGCAAATGACAAAGTTCAAATACATTTGGGGCCAGAACTGAAAGTTTTGATATAGCTAGTTCATAGATTAATGTTGACTGAGCCATGCTTTAAGCAACGGGTAACTATAAAAAAATACTAGTTCTTTCACTTCCCTAATGTGGCCGTCACGTGTGAGGATCCATCCATATGCTCTTTTAGCAATAATCCCTACGCTTCCCCTAAAAATGATCCTAATCCGAGCTATTTGAAACAGAAGGATCCTTTAGGATTATAAGGGTACGCTGCAATAATAAAAAAAAAAAATCTCTCCGCCCAAGATAACATAACCTTCTCACTACAACTGAGCACTCTGAACTTGCTACAATTAAGTACTTTACCGCTGCAGACTCATAAAACCCTCAAGTCAAGAAATTGGGAGGCTAGAAAAAAAATTTCTAAAAAATATTCTCCCAGGCAGGCTCCCTTCGGCCAGCGGCTCGGGCCCCGATCGCACTCCATTCTCTCGGCCTGCGCCGGGAAGCCTGGTGGAGGAGGAGCGCCATCATCCCCCCCCCACCCCGCTCTTCTGTGTGTGGCGGCTTCGCAACGCAATGGCGCCATTTCGTCGAGGCGAGGGCAGAGCGCCTCCAACGAGGTGCGCAGGACTCGAAAACCCGAGCTCCAGGGCCTCCGCACCCACCTCGACACGGCATGAAAACGGGCCGAGAGCAGAGGGCGGCAACTTGCCGCCTCTACGCGGTGGGGAAAGGGACCCAAGCCCGCAGCTCCGAAAAGGGCTGAACGCAAAAACCGCTGCGAGCGAGGAGACGGGAAAATGGCGGCCGCCAAATCCGGTTCCCGGGAGAGGGGGAGGGGGGGAGGGGAAGCTCCGCAGACT